TCAGGACAAATTCCATCAGAGTTTAGTGAAAATTAGAACATTTCCTGCTGCTGTGCATCACATTTGTAAAAACCCACAGAGAATTTCAGCAAACGAATAAGTGCATCGCAGCAGTAATGAGAAAAACATGGCATAACTAGGATGTATGCTACTCTACACACGATGCTGATACAAACACAAATTTCCCTGACATTTCTGAAATAAAAAAAACCAAAACACTGCCTTACCTGCTGTGGAGTGTCCTTGTTATCGCCTTATTAATGAAACTGTCAAAATATCTGTCCCACGCAGCTTGATTTATTTCATGTATTTCTACTCATCTACTCGTTGCTTATTTATCGACTTACTATTTATCGATTAAAACTTGCTTTATCTACACTATGTGTAGCCTGTAAATTATAAATGTGTTTCTCCTCTCTGGAACAGTTCAGGGTTCCTTTTCGGTACATTCTCCTCAGTCTCTTCAAACAACATTTCTATTTCTGCATTTAGTTTTCTAAAACAACACACGTTTGCTTTTTGAAAAAACTAAATAAAATAGAGCTAAACTTTCTATGTTCCAACAATGTGATATGTTGTTGAGGTCTGATATTTGCAGTTACAGAGGACAATTATATGCATTTTTCCAATGTTACCAATTCTTAAAGTTTGAATCCAAAACCTCATCATTATCTTTAGAATGTTTGGATTCTAACATCCTGCTCCTAATAATCAGAACAAGTAAAACTAATTTCCTAATACAGTAAATAATAAACAAACAATTGTTAAACTAAAGTATTAACAATACTTCTCAGAAAAACAGAAATCCTCAGAAGTTTAAAGTCAGCATCCTAGACATCAGAATCTGCCTGGAACTATCATAGGGATAAGGATTAAGTTGGACATCAACATCTTCAACACCAGTACAAAGAGTGGCCTCTGTAATAGTCAAGATGATGAGATGTCAGTAGTTTTATTTTTGAAAGGTCAAATATAAAGTCAACACAACGTTGTTAACTGAAGAATCGGGCTTCAGAAATGAAAAGAATTGCACAAATAAGAATATTTGCACCATTTCAGTCCATCTCATCATCGCTCATCATTTCGTATTTGTGAGATTTTTCAAAAATGTATTTATTATTATTATTATTATTATTATTATTGTTGTTGTTATTGTTGTTGTTGTTTTCCCATATTGGTGGAGCTTTGGTATCACACACATCTAAGGTCAGTTTGGACCGTGCCACGGTCACAGCGCCACATAGTGGTCACGCAAGGTGCTACAAATGTGTCAGCATCTCTTCTGTTCATTTGCAAATACGCAAAGATTTTTTTTTCCAGTTTGAAATTTACACTAAAATCGCGAGCTGAATGTCTTACATTAAAAATTATAATATAAAGTCGACATTTCTTTGAAGAAATTATAAGACAAAAACAACAACACCCACAGAAGTGTTGGAGCTGAGTGTGACCAACCTACTGCAGACTGCCTACAGTTAGTTATTATTGTTATCGTAATTTCTTCTTAACGTTTCTCATTTCCCACTGATGACATCACACTGCTCCTAAACGACCCTGAACGCCTCTTGGAGACCAAGAGTATCTCACTCTAATATCCCTGATTTCCCTATTATCCAAACAACAAACTTTCTATAATTCCCACCATGCAACCTCATTTCAGGACCATTAAGGGTCTATGCAATCGGTGCCAAATCCATACGCCTTTATTGCAAATATGAGCGCGAGATCAGTATAATTTAGTGATAATTTACTAGTATTTAGGAGCAACTGTCACGAGGGGAGGGCCTGGGTGTAAATGATGTGTGAGCAAATTAATTCGGCGGAAAGCGGAGGCAGTTAAACACCAGCCGTGAGAGACTGCCTGTGATAAAGGGACACAGTGAATGTAGCCGAATGGCAGATGATGACGTGACACCTACTCGGAGAGCAGCAATGAACACGTCGTCCTGTTCTGGCACACTGATGGGAGACGTGTTCGTGATTTTCCATCGAAAAATGACTGGCGAATGGTTCCGCAGTTAACGACTGTAAGTGGGAAAACACAACATACTCACTAAAAGGAAAATATACTCCCATATTTCACTGGGTAAATGAAACTGCGGCTTTATGAAACCCATATTCAACCATTTTAATAAACGATAAAATAGCTGACCATTAAAAAGACGTTTTTGAAGACGTTAGTCTTAAGTTATCGGTCTCCAAAAGGGGTATTGTTAGCTCTAGCTGACAGGTTGTTGTGTGGAGGTGCAGGGGTTTTGAATCTATTGGAGATGTGTGGGGGAAAAACAGCCTATTAATGTTTTTGATTAAATGTTAACTGCAGTAGGTGTTACACGTAAGCAGATATATGGATAGATATTTTTTTAAAGTTAAAGGTCTTCAAAAGGGGAAGAGCAACCCCTGGGGACTACCGAAAGAAATTACAGGAAATTATTAACCATTAGAAAATTTTCAAAACATTTTTCTTCCCAGTTCTGTTTTGGATTTCTTTTTTTTAATTAAACGTCTGAAAAAACACATTAGCATTAGTCCAACATGTTGTTAATTAAAATATAATTTTCAAAGACAAGTATTGTTTGAAAGCAGGCAGGTATGTCTATGAGTAGAGGTACCGAGCGGTGAAATTATTGGGTAGTGGAAATTAAGAATATACATATTTTCCCCAGTTTTATATTATAAGATAAATCAGACAACGTCTAATATAATGTATGTATATATTTTTAAACTCAGTATTGTTTTCAAGGTGCGGGTTTTTGTGTTACGATAGAAAGACAATAACTATTCTTAAAATGTGTGTTTAAAATAAAAATGTCAATTTGAATAGTTCGTATGCACGGGATCCTATGATTGCGTCATACACGAGCCTGTTTCTACTTCACGTTCCCCGGTGTTTGACGCATATTTAAATGTATCTGTACGTGAGTTAAGGCTCAGTTTATTAGGGAAAAAAAATATTCAGGATATGGAGTAAAAGTCATGTTTAACACAGATGTCGGTCATTTACCACCGGCTGATGGTGGAGAGTAAAGTGGCACAAAGGAGGCGTCGAAGCGTGAACCCGCGGCTCGTTTGGACTCTTTTCTTTATCCGTCCAGGCTTCAATCGACTCTGCTCATCTTTTATTCGTCTGCAATCTGGTGGCACGACCGGCAGACTGGGAGGGAAGGAAGGAGGGAGTTAGGGGAGGGAGGGAGAGATAACAGAGGGGTCGTTTGTTTCGGACGCACCGCGGGATGAGGAGGAGATTTGGACTTGGAGCTCGTGTCTGAGTTGGTTTGGTTCAGGGGAGAAGGAGGAGAAGGAGGAGAGAAGATTTTTGTCCGGAGATATTTCACGTCAAGACTTTATTTTTTTATTATCTAAATTTGTTTTGATGTCGCACTTATCGGAGATTATATGGAACTTCAGTGGTGTTTATTTTTATTAAGTATATTTTAGAAGGGAAATAATAACGTGTACTTAATCTATAATATATTTATTTAGTATATATTGTCTTTATTGCCTCTAACATGTTTTACTGTAATGTACGACTTAGGGAAGGTATATAACTGAGCAAGTGACAAATTATTATTATTAAATCTCCATTCTTCTCTGTGTGTAGAAAAACATCAAATAGTGAAATCCATTTCTCGTTTTAATTCCCAGATATTTTTGCCTGAGAAATTATTATGAATTTTTCTTTACTAATAATTTTGGGCTACTTGATCCGGGATTGTTTTATTGTTTAAAACACATTTCTTTCCAATACATTCGATATTAATAAACATAAATGGTAATGTATTTATTAACGCTTTATTGGAGGAAAATACACAGTCATTAGAGATAAATCACACTGTTGATTTTAATTCAAAGGTTTGTGTGGCAGTAATGAGACAACAGCAGGTTAGGGCTACGTTCACAGTCATTTTTGATGGTCCCTAAGTCAAATAATTGTGGCTGGAGATTTTATTTTTCTTAAATTTTAATTTTTAAAAATTTACAATTTATCTTTTCAAAATTGATCATGTGATGACTAAACAAAAATATTTGCTATTCATATTTATATAATTAATTTTTATAATTATGGTTATTGTTTATGTTAGTAAATGTTTGGGGTTTGTTGTGACTGGGTTTCCTCATATGTTCAATACATGCTTTATATGTTTTTACAGAGTATCTCAGTGTGTGTGTATGTGTGTGTGTTGCAGTTGCACCTCCTCTCTCCTCCTTCCCACATCAATCTCATGCATGACATAAATAAAAATAGACAAACAAATCCTGCCCCTGTGAGTTAATGCGGCGCATCTAAGTGTAAAGCAGACATTTTCACGCGCCGTGGAGATAAAGAGTGACTTTTAATACATGTGTAAAACATTTAAATAAACATTCTAAAGGGTTTTTTGGCGACGACTGCGTCACCCCCTCCCCAGTTGATGCTGGTGACTGGTAAGACGCACAGTTTTTGCTTGAACCTACGACCTTCTTCCTTCCTCTCTCTCCCTCTGTCACTCTTTCTCTCTCTCTCTCCTCCCTCTACATTCACTCAGTTAGAGATTTCTGTGGAGAAAAACAATCGATCTTCTATCCGCACAGGCCTCCAGTTTAACAAATTCTTGTTTCATGCAGCTGATTTGGCGACAGTCTGGGGGGGATTCGGAGTAATAAGTGAGTGTGCAGCGGGAGGAACAGGATGCTGATGCTGCAGAGACGCACAGCTCTGCTGCCTGCAGCCGCCTGCGGCAAAGCACAACGTCGACGACGAAGTTTAGCTGCAGCAGACGCTTCCACTCCGATACTGCTAGCTGTCATATTGATGTGAGGAGAACCGACATCAGCAGAGGCTTTTACTCCGACCCTTTGTCCACGGAACTTTGACCCGACCATGTTTTATAAGCGCGCGAAAATTTGACAGAATATTGACTTGGAATAAAAAAAAATACACAGATGCATTAACACAGTGAATAAAACGTGTGTGTGTGTGTGTATATATATATATATGTATATGTATATATATATACATATATATCCCTTGTGTAGCTCTTCTGTGAATTCTTGGAGTATATACAGTATATATACTATATTATATATATACTATACTATACTATATATGATATATGTGTATAGTATATATATGTATGCATGTATAGTATAGTAGTAGTAGCAGTATAGTATATATAAGTACTCCAGGAATTCACTGTAGAGCTACACAGGGGTCACAAGGTCACATAGTTAAAAACATATGTATGTATGTATGCATGCTGTATATATGAATGTTCTAAATATTTCTATACACTGGCATTTTGTATGTATTAACGTATTATATCAGAGCCATTAGTAATTATTAGTTCAATGGTAGACACATATATATGTGCATATGTATGTTTATATAGAGTATATTTAACTTTTTATTTATGTTTATAAAACATTGTGTCAATATGCATTGATTCTTCATAACATGGTACAGTATATAATTATTGACATAGTCATGTCAATAATTAAAGTATGTATATAAACCACAGGGGGTCTGTCTGTGTCACGTTCCCAAACAGTTTTCATGCCCACTTTTTATCACCACCATGTTTGCCTGGGCTCTTCACTGTTGGTTTGACATTCTAAATTTAGGAGGCATAACAAATTATATATTGTGAGGATTATTTGGGGGGAAAAGACGCCAAAACTACTTCGTACAGCATAGTAGAGTCCAGGACTTATTTAGTGAGACCGCCATGTTGCTTCTCTATTTTCTTTAGGAGCCGAAACTGCTTACCCAACCGGAGGGGGCATTATTTTATGGAATATTAGAGTACATTTTAATGTGATGTTAAAAATAAATACTTAAATTTTTAAAAACGGACGACAGGAGAAAGAATTGTGCTTTTGTCTGCAATCGTTCAGGATAGGTGTATGCTAAGGAGTCAACTGACAGTCTTCTACGTATATTTAGCATCGACAGTATACGCAGCTTTAAGTATTTGACAGTTTGTCGGTATATAAAATGCGTCAAGCTCATGGTGATTTAACACCTTGAGTGATAATTTTAAATAACGCTATTTTTTGTTTGGTGAAGATGATTCTTTTATTTAACAGCTACTCTTGTTGTTAGCAGCAGCAGCAGCTAGTGCAGTGACAGCAGTGGTGCGTGGGTCCTCCGGTCACGAAAACCCAGGTGCAGCTCACCGCCGTCGCATCTCATTCCTCAATTAGTGCTGCTGCCCTCTGCATGGACTTGATTAGGCCGTGATTTATCCGAAAGAAATATAATTATACATCCAAATAAAATAATCAGCATTGAAGAGCGATTTCCTTAACGAGATGTAGCGGGGTAGATGTCACGGAGTAGCAGCGCCTCATTAGGGCGGTAATGAGACTTTGGGGTGATCCTGATAATTATCGAAATCTGTAAAATAAGGATCAGGTCGAATGTAACCTTAATTTGTCTGCCAATTGAGTTCATTCATTAGTTTGACTATTTAGGAAGGACTGTCTCAGCGTTAGTACAAGGTGGTGTTATTTCAGGGCCCGTGGATAAATGAGGTTTTCTGCTGCAGGGACGTCACACATACGGCTGTTTTGTCATTCATGGCATCTGTCCTGTGACTGACAGAACTGCCTGTAAGTGCTCTTGGCTTTATGGTACATTTTAAACACAGTTTATTTCACTGCTAGAAGGCGAGCAGGAAATGAATACGCAGTGAAACTCAACCAATTAGTTATAAAATTAAGGCCATTTCAATCACATGATATAAGATCAACTGTTAAAAGATAAATTATTAACCCCTCCATCTCCACAAAATCAGAACCTGAACTAAAAACATGCAAATGTCAAAGTTGAATCAATCCGAACCTGTGTCCACTATATTCCCATTCAATGTCAATTGCTGAGATAATCTAAATCAGGGGTGTCAAACATACAGCCTGTGGACCAAAATCGGCCTGCTAGGGGGTCCACTTGATGAATTTTGAAAGTAAAAAAAAGCACAAACACTTCATGTCCTAATGTTTTTTCAAATGATATTTCATCAAATACAAATAGTTTCTCATATACTTGTACTTCTTTAGATGAGAACAAAGGGGGTGGAGGGTGGACTTATTGTTATTTAAAAGTAATTATGTTATGATTGCACTGGTCTGGCCCACTTCTAATCTAATCAGGTTGTATGTGGCCCCTGAACCAAAATGAGTTTGACATGTCTGATCCAACTGGTGCTTCTGATTTCTATTGACACCAGTGAGAGTCCTAAATCTGTCAGATACAGCACTTTGCAATAATTTCAGCAATATATATAAATTTTGGTTTCAATAGTTCAATACAAACAATTCAAATCAGCCCTGACACAGATGCTGCTCACTCTGAATTATGGTCCTTTCTGGGACTTCTTTAATGGATTTTTTCCTCACCAGTCACACAATTCTTATTCTTTTAAAAATTATGACACATTATAAACCAAAATTTCAAAAAGCCTTCCTTTTGAGCAACGCTTACTGAAGCAACATTTTCTGTAAAATGCTGATCAAATATATTTGATTGAATTGCAAATATTCATTTCATTTTAGTCACGGTTCTATCGTAGAACCAAACAACCACTCACACTACTACCTATTTTTATACATTTATTATATTAGTGAACAATTACCTAATGGTTTTTGACTGTAGGACAGACTGACAAACACACAGACGGGAAACATGCAAACCTCCTGAAGACAATCAGTCACCACTGGTGATGGTACCACTTGGAAACAGAAATATAAAAAGCAGCTTTTACACACGTAACAAAAGAAGGATCTTGTGTTGCTCTTGTGATAATAATCTTAATATAAATTATAACTGAAAGCTCACTATAACACACAGATTTTATTAGACTGTGCATTTATAAACCAGCAAATGAGATGTTTACGGCTGTCTGCCTCATATATTGTTCTATATTTAAAGGTAATGTTGACGCACATATTAGCCCACAAACAAATACACTACAATTCAGTGCACTACGTCATTAAGGAATTTCAAAGAAAAAACATCTTGCGTCCTGTGCATTCTGAGCAATGCCCCAGCAGATCATACAGTTCTTTCCATCACAGAACCTCTGGCCACTGGCAGCACTTTCATATCTGTTTTTACTTACTTTACTGTATCATATTCAGAGCTAGTATTATTGTGCTGAAGTTTTATTTTCAGATGTTTTATTTCTCAAAATGCTGACTTACACCTTGGTTGTTAAATTGGGCCAACTAAATAAATAATTATCATAATCTGGTACTCTAATGAATTACTTGTGCAGTTTTACTTGATACGAAATCAATATTGAAGTATCTAGATCAATACTGAATCGAATCATCTTCACAAAACTCTGCCTCATTGAAAAGAAACAAACAACCTTCACATTTAAGCCTAGTGTCTGAGTGTGTGTGTGTGCGCGAGGGAAATAAATCTTCTTCAGATCTCTTATGTATTAAAGAAAAAAAATTATGGTTTTCTGGTGATCACATAAGGGCAACTTTAATAGCAGTGGCATGTTAAAAACAATAGGAGAAATAATTACATAAAGAAAGTGAAGATCAACAGACTTAAGTTTGCCTGGAACAAGAGCTCAAGAAAGGAATGGAGATTTAGGCGAGAGATTGTAGCAGACAATCATCAGAAAATTATCCTTCAAGCTTCACTGAGTCCAACATATTTCTGGCCTCTTTGTACTCTTCTGTTTCTGCCATATCCTCTTCTGTTTCCTGGAAGACACAGACATAGGGTTGCTTTGACTGCTACATTAGAGGAGCTCCACAATCTGCCGCAAACATTAACACCACATGATAGAACAGCAGATGTTAAAGATATACTGAAAACAAACGATGTTGATGTTGATGGTTGAGCTCAAACTTTTGTCACCATGGTGCCAGTGAGATCTAAATTTAGCAGCAGAGGCCTGGACCTGGCAGGTGCTGATGCGACTGTATGGCGATCCGTTTCTGCTAATCGAGTGTGTCTGAGATGCCGCTGTGGTCGCAGCAGTGAAAGCTCTGCTAATCAACTGTGATGAGCGTGTGCTTATGTGCATGT